CAAAGTTAAATATGAGGATATTTTGAGCAATATAAACTTGTTAGAAAATACAAAAGGATAGTAAAATGTTTAATTCAAGTTTAAAAAAAAATAGTGTAGAACTATATGGTTATTTTATGGATACTGATAATTCTATTGGCAATTTTATTATACATCTTGCGACACATCAAATTTAAAGAAAGTTATTAAAAGAAAGATGAATAAAGTATAAAATAATAATCAGCTTTATATAGATGAAATAATACGAAATAATCCAAGTATTAAGAATAATCAAGACCAAAAATTTATTGGAATTTTAGTTAAAGATAATTGACTAATTAATATATACTATAATAAAAGCTTTATTGAATTTATTTGTAAGTTTGATCTGAATTATCACTTGTCAAGTAATAAAATAATTCAATGATTATTAGCTGAATTATATAATCAAATTAAAACTGTTTTAACAAAATATTCAATGAAAACATTTTTTCCTGTTTTATAACAACAGACCTTTAAAAAACTAGAAGTAGATTTAGTTATATTAGAGTTACATACTCCTTTATTAATAATGCATTTAGATTTTATGAAGTAATTTATCAATTAAATATATACTTTATTCATATACTGTCAATTCTATTTGTAAAGGTTTATGTGAAATTATCTCTAATTAGAATCTAATTGGCAAAGTTCTTACAATAATAACAGATAATAAACCAAATATGATTTAGACTAAATAATTAATGGATAAATTAACATGACTTCTCTTTACAGTACATACTCTACAATTAGTTGTAGAAAAAGATTTACTTCCTGCTGAAGTTCTAATTGTAAGGACTAAAAGATTGATAAATTTTTTTACAATATTTGAACAAATAAAAAGGCTTTTAAATATTTAAAAAAGCACTTATTATTTTAATAATATAGTAAGTAAATCTTTAAATTTTAGTTTAATAAATTAATTAAATTCATTTTTTTATATATCGCTTAATTCTATTTCGTAAATAGATTCTATTTTATAGCTTTAATTATGATTTCATAATTTATAAATTTTTTATTTTAAATTTATAAATTAAAAATTTTTTTATTTGTAATTGAATAATACCTTTAATATATAATTTTATTCTAAATATTTTATAAATAACTAAAGTTATAATTTATAAATACTTATAAATAATATAAAATAATATAGAATCTGAAAAAAAATGATAAATACTTTCAAATAATTGCTGATATAGAAACATTTGAATTCAAGCTATCTTACATAGAAATGACTAATAAAAATTAAAGATCTTATTGATGTTTTGGCATCTATTCTAATGATTGCTTCTAATACATGATGAGATGATAATGACTAAAGATATAAATTTAACTGATAATAAATGGCAAGTAATAAATAACTTGGTAGTTATCTTAGAGAATTTTATTGAAGCAACTGAATATTTAGATAGAAGCAATTATACAATTAGTCTAATATATAATTTATTAGCAGTAATTAGTAAAAAATAATACCTCAAAATTCTAATATAGAAATTATAGACTTGACAAATTCAAATACTACCTTTGATAATGATGTAAATTATAAGAATAACCTAGAAGACAAACCCATTACTTAACAATCTAAACATAAAAAAATTAACATTAATACTTTGCAAGATTATTTTGAACTTGAAAACATGTTAAAATAACATTATATAAATCTATTAATTATTATTAAGAAGTTTTACAAAAGTAAGGAATGTTAGCTACTTTATTAGATCTCTGATTCAAAGATTTAAAATTTGCTTCTGAAATATTGCATATTAGAACTCATGAGAAATTAAAAAAAGTTTATCAAGATATGAAAGACTCAACTAATATGAATCACAAAGCTGAATCTAGACCCATTTTATCAAATATATTGTTAGCAAAAATATTTCAAAATAATTATATTAATGTTGATAAAGTGACTAATTATTTGATTACACCTAAGATTCATTTTAATGATTGCTCTTTATTATGATAAAAAACTAATAAAACTCATTTTCTAATATTATTAAAACTAGCAAAATGTACTTGACAATTCCTGTTACTTCTACTCTAACACTAGTTGAAATAATTCAAATTGGCTAAAAATTGGATAGCTGATTTTAGGCTAATTTTAATACTATTTACAGTTTATTTGTCATATTTTCTAATTGACACAAACAGGTGCTGATTGATGCTGATTGAACCCAATCAGCATAGCTATTTGAAACTATAAATCAGCCTAAAATTGGCTTTAATTCAGTATCAATTTGGCAACAATTCAAATGCTGATCGATACTAATCGACTCTAATTAGACAAGCAATTCAACCATAAATTAGCCTAAAATTGGTCTTAATTTAGTATCAATTCAGTAACAATTCAGATGCTAATCGATGTCAATCGACTTCAATCAGACAAGCAATTCAAACGTAAATCAGCCTAAAATTGATCTCAATTCAGTATCAATTCGACAACAATTCAAATGTTAATCAATACTAATCGACTTCAATCAGACAAGCAATTCAGCATCAATAATCAGTACATTTTATTTATTAAATTTATTAAATATTAAAATTTTATTAATAATAAAAATCTAATATAAATTTGTAAAAATATAAAAATAAAATAAAAAAAAAGAGTAAATTTATTTCTCACCCTAGGTGAGATAAATTATTTTTCACTCCTTATAATTTTTTTTATATGCATTTTTTATTAACAACAATTATTATAAAAAAAACAGTATTTATCAATATTTATTATTTAAATTTTACACTAAATAAATGTAACAATTAAAGCCAAAATATTGCAAACATGCTATTACTATAAGATTAACACAATCTCATGCTATTACTAAGTGAAACTAATAAAACAATACTTTGATTTCGCACTATAAACACGTGATTAAGTATCATAACCTAACCCTTAGAACAAGTGCTATGATAATGACCATATTCCCTACATGAGTCACACTTACGACATCTATCAGATATTGCTTGTTCGCCTTCACCTTTGCCTTTTGAATCTGATTTTTCAACAGATGACTTCAACCGTTTTATTGGTGGTCTTCCTTTAGGCTGATGCTTTAATGGATTTAAGATCTGATTAATATCAATCAATATTTCTTTTGTATTACAAAGGACCTGATTTTCATTCATTTTTCTATCCACTAAAGCTTTTTGTTGCTTAATCGATTCTGCTTGAATTAGTTGAGCTTCTTTTCTTTTATTAAAATCCTTGATAAACTGAATCAGTTCTTCATTATTATCTTGAATTGCAAATTGAATTACCTTTTTGACTTCGCCTATTAGAGTATCAAATTTTAATTAATTTCGTAATATTTGCTTAGAATACCTTTCTGAAAGATCATTTATAGTGTATTTCAGGCAAATTCTAAAGTGATTTATACACTATTTTGATTATTTTAGCTATTACTTGTAATTGTCTCACTAGAACAGGTATCGTTTGAATTGATATATTCATTCTTATACCAACACTTAGAAATCAATGTTAAATGAAAACATGCATTAGAAGATTTAACAAACACTTTAAAGAAATGCTTGCATATAATACCATGAGTGACAAGCATAAACAAGTGCATAAGTATTTTTCAGTATTAAGTAGAATTACATGTTGATAGCATTTCAGGTAATTGTATCAAAAAATCTTCCAAACTTCTAAAATATCATTAAAACTAACCATTGAAATCAAAGACTTCAAGTCAGAAAATTGTACTTGATGTGTACGATAGCATACAGATTGACACATTTGTTTATAATATGCATCGTGAATTGGCTGTGTGAAATATTTATTTATGATACTATCAATACTACTAAAGAATGTTTATATGACGAAAGGTTGTGTGTACTGTAATGTTGAAGCTTTCCAGATTTGAATAACGATTGTTAATTGACTCAAATTCTAACTGATTTTCAAGAGATTCTTGAACTTGTAAGAGAGAAACTTGACTGCATGGCCTTTTTTTTAATGTATTTTCTGATTCCACATGCTGTGTAAATTGCATTCTCACTGTAAAATATCATGATGTAAAGCATTTTACCCAAATATGCTTTCAATTCAATAGCATTATGGTTATATATTTGCTTTCCGCCTCATATTTTTTAACTATCCCTTTGGTTCATTTTTCAAATACATTTTTGCAATAAGAGCGTTGAATTCCTTTAAATCTTTAAGGAATTTCTGATAAAGTGATGATCCTAAACATGAACGAAGGTTTTTTGAAAGATTTTGATAAAGATAGTATAAACATTACATATGATGAGTCTCTAGAAATACTATAGAAATGGCTGCAATCATTGCGGGGTCAGCATCAGTAATAAATATTAATGGAGAAATTTTACATGCTTTAAGATAACATCAAAGCAACCATTTGTATGATTCTTGTTTTTTATTCTGCATGAATGCTTAAGCTGCCAACCTACTCTTATTATAGTTATCAATTAATATAAAGAGATTTAACGGATAGTTATATTTATTCGTTCTTACAGTGTTGTCGTGAATAATAATATCATAAAATTTTATTTACCTTTTACGCTGCTCTGGTGACATTCAGAAAATACCAACTAACCAGTTACTTGTGTCATCTTTTAATAGCTTTACAAACCATGTGGGATCATTAGCTTGCAATTCAAGAAGCTTCATTAATAGAGATGCTGTTTCCCCTAAATTCAATCCCTTTTCTCATTTAATTCTTTGAATTACATTCCCTAAGTCTTGAGTAAGAAACACACAATCAGGATACTTTAGTTGAAGAAGGTTCCTAATTGTTCCTACATCACATTGGCCATACACAACATAAAATTCTATCTGTTTCATGATTTCTTCAGAAAAATTTTGTAAGTGGTAGAAAATTTCAAAATTTCAATAGAAATCTCATAGTTGTGTTCATTATTAAATAATGTTACAGTTGCTATTGGTGAATTTAATCATCTATTAATGTTTACTTACCACATACAGCCTTGCTTTTTGCTTTCTTTGCTCTTTTTTTTACCTAATATCAGTTTTGAATGTTTTTCAACATACATTCTTCCCAAATCACACTTAAATATCCTTTTTCTACAAATACCATCTGAAAATTTTTCAGTCTTATACTTAAAGACGGCAAAGTTATTTTGAAGAGTGTATTATTCTATAAAATGTATCATGATTTTCATAGAGTAAAACTTAGTTCCTAACTCAATTTCAATCAGAGTATTGATTGGTGGAAAAACACCATTATAACCTTTAAATTTAGAGCCTAATACATCTCTAAAAACATACTCTTCTTCATCATTATTATTATTAGTGAATTCTATAAAGAGTGCGGCATTGCAGAACATGATTAGCGTAGGCACAAAAAGTAAAAAAATACGAATGTTTGACAAGCAAATAAAGACCTTTTATGAAGGCTTTAGAGATAAGTATATTTATAATATTAGAGCAGATAGAGTGGTCATTTATTACTTGCGATGAATATTAAAGTGAAATTAAAAATTTTTGAGAAAAAAAAGCTCAAAAAATATTCAGAACATCACCGGTCAAAGAAATTGGAGAAAGAACTTTAAGGAACAACACTGGTCAAGAAAACTTCAAAAGAAATTGGAAAGAATTTTCAGAGAAAAAAAAAAACTTCAAAGAAAAAAAAATTTTGGAAAAAAAAAACTCAAAAGAAAGGAGCAAATTGTCAATACCAATAAAGAGGACTTCAAAGAAAATGACTTTCAAACTTCTCTCTTCAAAAAAAAATATAAAGAACAAAAAATGCTGGAGGAACAACAAAAGACTTCGAACTTCTAAAGAAAAAATCCTTCAAATTTAAACCCTTTGCAGATTAGAAAAAAAAATAACTTCTTTTCTCAAACTCTAGTAGCATAAAAGTCAAAAACAAACAGTATAAAACTCTACTTTTCATTACAAAACCCTTTGTTACTATTAGAAAAGAATCGTTGTGGCTTAGAAAGCAAAGAGTTTTATGCACAGCTATTTTTTTTATTTATTATTATTAAAAATTTAACGTAACTTATCCAGATCTCTGATACGATTTATCGATTAGCTGGTCATGTGAATACTGGGTGAGAAATCACCTGGATAAGGAATAAATTTTCTCTAAAAAAATATCACTAAAACCTACTGATTAATTTCCTATTAAAAATAAAATAATAAAATAATAAAATATGATTCATTTCCTCCCAAAATCCCCTTAAATCATCCTAAATTAGATAAATAAATAATATATTAAAATATGATCTATTCCTTTCAAAATCACCCAAAAAACGTAAAAATAATAAATATAAAATGTAAAAAATAGAAAAATCAACCTAAAATCGCCTGAAAAAATGTAAAGATAATTATTAAAATCAACCTGTTCCATCTAAATTACCTGAAAAAACGTAAAAATAATAATAAAAAATTGACCTGTTTCCCAAATCGCCTGAAAAAAATATAAAAAATAATTAATAAAATCAACCTGTTTTTACCCAAATTACGTAAAAAAAATAATAAAAAAATAATAAAATCAATCTGTTCCCATCCTAAATCATCTGAAAAAAAATGTAAAGAAAATAATAAAATAATAATAAAATCGACCTGTAAATCACCCAAAAAAATGTAAAAATAATAATAAAAAATCGATCTGTTCTCCAAATCATCTAAAAAAAAATGTAAAAAATAATAAAATAATAATAAAATCAACCTGTTTCCACCCCAAATCACCTGAAAAAAACATAAAGATAATAATAAAAAATTGATCTATTCTCCAAATTGTCTGAAAAAAAAATGTAAAAAATAATTAATAAAATCAACCTGTTCACATCCTAAATCGCCCAAAAATTCATCATTCACCATCGTCTATTACGGAATCATCTTTCACTTTCTTTAGCAATGAATGAAACCTCCTTCTGACTTCAGTATATTCCTCAATTTCAGTTACATATTCTTCTGCAGTTGTAACTCCTGCTTCGATCTCAATATCATAGACTATATCAGGTTATGCTTTATATAATCACTTTGGAGTATTGTAGGAATGTAACCAGTTATAATGCTACATACCATTATTGTATTTTCTCTTTCGTTAAATTTGAGATGATAATATTATAGTAACATAAGGATCAAGTATTTTTCTCAATAAATTTTTTAGCTAAAAGAAGAAAATAATTAGTGAAATATACTACATCTTTAAATTCTAATTTACCTACTGTTTTTTTAAATTTAATTAGTATAAATCTTCCTAAATGTATATCTTAAATGCAGATTATAGATATCATAGAAGCTTGATCTTTTGTTATATAAATAGAATACTGGTATCATAGTTGATAATAGCATGAACTTTTTGCAACCAAGTATTTTCTAAAATAATATTATATTTTATAATATTAGTTACTAATATATTTTCATTAATGATTATTTCATTGACTTCTACTACAATTCCTTTAATTATTCCTAAAGACATCATAATTTTTCTATCTACTTCCATAATTTTTGTTTTTATAGGTTTATCAATTTTTCAATTGATTTGCCTAAGATATCACTAAGTAATGATACTTTCTATAGATCTAGTATTAACTAGAGCATTCACAGAGTATTCTTTCACTTGGACTTTAATAAATATAGCATCCTTAGATTCATCACATGCTATATGAATAGTAATAATTTGTTCTCTTAGTTTAATTATAAAAAGTTCTTCATATTTATTATGCATTAGTATTAATTCATTTAAGCTAGCTATTTGTAAATATTTGTCAAACTCAAAATATTGCCAATTACTATACTTAGTAGATTCAATATGTTGAGATATTTCTTTGTTTAATTTTATTTTATATATGTTACAATTATATGTAAAACTATTTAAAATATATTTTAAGCATTTTTCATTTAGCTGTATTCTAGTTTTCCCATCAATTTCTTGAATCATAACCCTTATTGATGATTTTTTTAGTTCAACTTTTTCACTAACTATTTGCTATAAATTATATATTTTCTTATTTAAATCAATTCATTTTGAAAGATAAATTCTTTTATCATCATATAAAATTTCTAACATATACTTTAGTTTTTTTCTTAACAGTGATTTCTTCTTATTGTTAGAGATCTACTGTTTAATTGATTGATCTTTGTTAAAAATCCTCTCATCTGTTAATGGATCCTTCTATTTTACTTTTTTATATTCACATTGTGTTGCTATTTTCTTAGTAATCTTATTATAGTTTGTGTATACAATGTGGCTATGATGATCATATTCTTTATAATTGAAATGATTATATTTGATTTCATATGTTTCTTTAAATTGCATTTTTGAATTCATTTTTCTGTACATATAAGGTACTTCTATTAAGTTTATTTTTTTTGTTTTTAGTTTACTTTGAATATTTCTTTAGACTCTTTCACTTTCTTCACTTTTAAGAGTTTAGATTTATTCACATACTCACCCTTAAGAGATGCAACTTCTAGTTTAATTGCTGCTAATTATTATTGCTATTATTGTTATTATTATTATTATTCCTATAGCTCATATTTCTGTTATTACTATGATTACGATTCCTGTTATTATTACCATTATTGCTACTTTGAAAATTTTGACCTTAATTATTATTTAAACTTCTATAGTCTCTGGCAAAATAGCCAAATTTTTCATAATTAAAACATTTAATATTTGTATTATTTATACATCAATTGCTTTTATAATCTTTAAATTAGTATTCAAATTTTTCACAATTAAAGCATTCATATGGTCATTACTATGATTGCTACTATTGCTACTATTATTGTTATTACTAATGTTTACTATGATCACTTGTAATCTTTTATTTAATTTATGATTAATAGTACCTTCAATATCTGGTTATTGTATAATATACGTGGATTGTATTGCTATATTGTTTGAGCTGATAACATTTCTTCTTATAATAGTTGTATATAATTAGACATCAATGAATAAGCAGATACTTTTATCCTAATAGAATATATAGATTCTACTGCTCTAGTTTTTTCAATTGCTTAGTCTACTATTATTAATATTACTATTTACATTAATATCATAAATTTTGTTCATAATTCTTCAATAAATTCAACTATTCTATTCATCTCAATTCACCTATACTATAAATTAACTTTCTTTATAATTCTCTTATTACTATGACATATTCCTTAATGATTTCACCTGGTTTCTGTTTCCTATGTCTAAGTTGATACTTCTATTGATTTGTCAAAATGCATTGCAAAATGTTATTTAAATAATGATACTATTAACATGCAATCCTGTCGAATTGCAATTGTTAGACAGGGTATTCAAGTAGTGATTCTTTTAAGTTTACATAGTAAATCTTAATAGTTATCTCTATAAGTTAATAGTTTTTTATATACTGCAAAATATATTCATACCTCGGTTGATTAAGTTCTGTTATATATTGAAAAATATATTCAAACCTATAATGAATGTATGATTCATTCACTATATACTACCCAGTATATTTAATACACTATTAAGTATATTTTCATATTAAGTTAAAAATAAACATGAATTACGTTATAAATACAAAGTGTTACGAAATGTCTTAGGTAAATTGAATAAAGATTTATTAGTAAATAAATAAACTAAAAGCTAAAAATACTAAAATAAGGAAATACAAAGAAGAATTAATCACAAATAGAAAAGAGTAGCTTCGCATTACTTTACAAAAAAAGGTTGCACATAGTTATTGCTAAACTGATCAAATTGTATCTAACAATTGATAGTTACTTATTTGTCAAAAATTTAGTCTCCTTTATATACTTTTTAATGTAAATCTAATATATTATATATGTTAGATATATCTGATATATCAAATATATCAAATATGTCAAATATATAAGATATGTCAAATATATTAAATATGTCAAATATGTTTGACATGTTGACATTTTGATCTGCACTTTCTTGTATTACATAAATTAAATATTAATTGTGTTACTTAGGTAACTATTTATATGCAGTATATAGATCAATTAGGTTACGATAGTCTTGTGACAATATGAAAGAAGTATCAAGATTGATTCTACTATTTTAGTTAGTAATATACTGTTACTAAAATTATATTAATGCAATTTCTATTAAATAACTGAAAACTATCTCAAACATTCAAGTAGTATTAATATAATTTGCTTTATAGGCTTATTTAAAAGTTTTGAATCACTTCACTGAATCCTAATTTCCTTCTTTAAATATTAATAAATTCACTAATCATTGCTCTCTCATTTGCTATCCTTAAAGCTATCCTATTAAATCTTATATGATTTAAAGGTAAATATTATCATTATTTTCTCTTACAAGTATTATAGCTGATTGGAATATAAGTATCGGTTAAGA